TCCAGAAATGAGTCTTTCAGGGCTTCAGGTACTGTGATGCCTTTGAGACATAATCTGTCTGCAAAACGTGAATATAGGAAAAAAAGTAAAGGTAAAACTACCGTATGATTGCTGTCCTCTCTTCCTCATACAGCTGGCATTAACTGGTGCTCCTCCCAGTTCTGAGATCTTCCTCTTCACTGATGCAGCTGCTAAAGATGTACACCTGAGAAGCACAGTGCTCGCACTCATTGAGCAAACCAAGACGGTGGTGAGTAATACGCTTCGTGTATGGCATGCCATTTGTAAAGTGGCTCACACTGAAATTAACAGTAACATTTTGCCACATTTAGCTTAAAAAAGTGCTGTGAATTTTTTAGTCACTTTTTACAGCATTTACAGCAATATTTGAAATATGTCAAATATAATGTCACAGTTAAACCTAAATATTAAATGTTAAATCTAAATCAAAATGTTAAATGTAATTGTTAAATCTAAATCCAAATCTAAATGTTAAATCTAAAGCTAAATGTTAAATGTTAAATCTATGTGCTTGGTGAAACTAAATATTTAGCTAATATGCAAATGCACACTGCCAGTCACTGGAAGTACCAAAATAAAAGCCCAGGTGGTCAGACTGTGTTTATAGCATCAGCATGATAAGAACTACCTAAAATGACAGAAACCATGTTTAGGGAAATTTTATTTGACGTGTACTTTGATTTTTTAGTGTCCCATCCCTCCTTGATGTTAGCTAGCTAGTAGAGATTTGCTACTAGCATCAATGTACTTCAAGCATAGCGTATTTATTTTATTTTTCAAAAACTAGCTAGCTAACGTTAGCTAGTTTCATATAGCTTACATGCAAACATAAGGAACATATGCTACACGAGTTAAAAAACAAACTTACGGAGTGCTGTGGTGGCTCTATGGTGGATACCGTCGCTGTTGCTGTCATCAACGATGCACTCCTGAAATTCTCAATTGGGCCAAAACAGCCCTTCCAGTGTTTTCAGCTAAATCACCGGACATGTTGGCATGTTGGCAAGCAAGGATGGGACACTAAAAACTCAAAGTACATGTCAAATAAAATTTTCCCAAACATGGTTTCTGTCATTTTAGGTAGTTCTTATCATGCTGATGTATGTTCAAGTGTTAATTTTCTCAGATTAGTTTGATTTTAATTCGTTATTTGATGCTATAAACACAGTCTGACCACCTGGGCTTTTATTTTGGTACTTCCGGGGACCGGCAGTATGCATTGCATATTAGCTAAATATTTAGTTTCACCAAGCACATTTAGATTTAACATTTAACATTTAGATTAAGATTTAATATTTAGATTTAGATTTAACATTTAATATTTAATATTTAACATTTAGATTTAGATTTGACATTTAGATTTATATTTAACATTTAGATTTAACATTTAGATTTAACATTTCGGTTTCAATTTAACGTTTGGATTTAATAATAATAATAATAGATCGGTTTTATATAGCACTTTTCTAAATACTCAAAGAGGCTTTACAAAGAATAAGCACAGAAAAAGGCACTCAAAACAAAACACTCAAACAAAGGACACTCAAACAAAACACTTAAAAGAGAAAGAGCGGGTGGAGGATGACGAGGGAGGATTTTTAGGTGCAGTAGGTGATCCTGAAGAGATGGGATTTAAGCTGACTCTTGAATGAGGNAAAAGAGAAAGAGCGGGTGGAGGATGACGAGGGAGGATTTTTAGGTGCAGTAGGTGATCCTGAAGAGATGGGATTTAAGCTGACTCTTGAATGAGGGGAGTGTATCAGAGTTCCGGATGGCCAGGGGGCAGGGAGTTCCAGAGGGTAGGAGCAGCGATGGCAAATGCTCTGTCCCCCAGGGTGCGGTACTTGGTCTTGGTGATGGGGGTGAGAAGCTTGGCATTGGTGGAGCGGAGGCGGCAAGTGGGGGAATGGCGATGGAGGAGATCGGTGAGGTAACAATTAGATTTAGATTTAACATTTAGATTTAGATTTAAAGGAGCTATATGTAAGAAATCTAAAGCAAATAGTCGTAAAATCCTCCTAATATGTCACAGATACTAAGGAATAATGTTCATATAACATACTGATCTCACCGACAACAATAGTACAGCCAGAATATTTGCATTTAAAAAATTTTTTTGCAGTCTGCAAATCATGTTTATGTTTTGAATTTGTGTTTTGGCCTGTTGCGCCACCCACCGCCGTCTACCAGTCACGCAGTCAGTAGAGTCGCAGCATCAGTTACAGTTACGACTGAGCTACAGCAGCACAGCAAGCAGCATTAGCAGTGTCCTGGTACATAGCATTAGCAGCCGGCTTCTCCTCAGCTGTATCCCGGCAGCAGCGTTAGCAGCAGAGAAGCCAGGACACGACTCGCGGCAGTATTTTGAATTTGAGTGCAGTAACTGTTTTGGCCACATTCTTACATATAGCGCCTTTAACATGTAGGTTTAACATTTAATATTTAGATTTAACTGTGACATTATATTTATCATATTTCAAATATTTCTGTAAATGTGGTAAAAAGTGACTTTAAAAATTCACACCACTTTTTTAAACGTTGTTTGATGTTGATGTGGCAAAATGCTGCTGTTAATTTTAGTGTGAGTCACTTTACACCCCATAACGGCACCCCATATTCATGTAACAACAAACAAATGGTGTGAAAAATGATAGCGTAATTAGAGTGTGTAATGTAATGAAAAAATAAATAAAAACTCACAATGTAAAAACTTGAGGAGGCTATGAGTGAGGCTGTACTTAGGCACTAATACTAATGTCTGAATAAGTAGAAAGTAATGTTCACCATGTTTGCTATTATAGTTTAGCATGCTAACATTTGCTATTTAGCATTACACATTGCTGAGACTGAAGGGAATTGTATTTCATCATAAACAGAAGTTTTGGAAGAACTATATAAAAAACATTGTTTATGTTAGCTATTAAAGACTTTTCTGATTTGGTTTAACCTAAAAGACCCTAGACCCTAGACTTTAAGACTCTATGAGTGGGCTTAATTCTCATTCAAACTTTTATAATTTCTTTTTAGGTTAACTTCATGATAACTGCCGTTCTGGGATTTCGTCGTCGAAGGCAGAGTGATGATAGCCTCCAACAACAACAACAACAACCAATCAGTCGAATGGCAAGATCAGATGCTCAGCTGTACAGAGACCTGGCTCAGGCTTCAGGAGGTCTGGCTATTGAAGTCTCAAAGAGTGAGCTCCTTGAAGCCACCAGCATCATAACACAGACATCCAGCTCCTCTCTGGTATTAACACTCTCACTGTTCATTATGAGTTTTCAAAATCCGTAATTCAATTACGATTCAGTTGTGACACCAGTGTCATTTAACCTCCTAGGTGACCCTTCTGCAGGCAGCCAGGAATCCAGGAAAGGCTGAAAATTTCACCTTCACCATTGACGAGTCGGTGAAAAACCTCACAGTTTACATCACTGGGAACTCTGTGACCTTTACTCTTATCAG